CCAACCCAAGGGTTCTGGGTGCTGCTATTCCCGCTCCCCCTCAGAGGCCTTCTTCTTTCCCCCAGCCTCCCCCAGCTACTCTCTACTCTTCCTCCCCTCACTGCCACCTCCGGGAAAGAGCAATCCAGTCTGCTGCCTCTCCTCCCTCCCCCCTCCCACTCTCTCCTCGAAGTCCTCAGCAATCTGGCTTCTGCCTGCAGCAGCTCCTAAGAGAACCCAGCCAGGCCCCACCCCCTTCCTACTCTGACCTCAAGCCCACCTTTGTGAGTTACCTCATACTCCCGGTGTGCCTCCAGACCCAAGGACAAGGGGGCGGGGCAGCAGCTGCACAAAGGGTGGAGGGAAGTGCAAAGGCCCTGAGGTGACCTTGGGGAGGCTAACACAAAGGAGGCTGGGCGTTACTGGGGATGGGTCGTGGAGATGTGCTTGGAGACCCTGCAGGGCCTTGGCAGGACAAAAGAATCAGAATCCTGTTTTACTAGGCTCAAATATCCCTTACAAAGCTTCCCCGCTTAGAATTACGCTTTCCTTCCTCCACGCTCCCAGAAAACATTTATCTGTACTAGTGCTTACCACCCCCCACGTCAGTCTTTCCCAACTATAAAACAAGCAGCCGCATCACAAGGCTGTTTTAAGGATTAAACCACCTTAAGGTAACACAGGTAGGTAGGCTGGTGCTGACTTTGCAGTCAGTGCTCAGCTGCTATTATTAGTTATGTTCCCTTCTGTCTGTCCCCCTAGCCCCTCACAGGACTGCAAACTCCCTGACAGCAGCAGAGGCATCTTATACCGCTCACCATCTCCCAGAACCTTAGGCCATTTCATGAGCTATCAGGCCATACTTACTGAGGGCTCCCTGCACTGCCTTCCCAGCACCAGCTGATCAGACACCAACATCTCACATGACCCTCCCAATAACCACGCAGCGGGGAGCCCCAACTGAGGCCCTGCTGCCACTGGGGCCAGATCATCCGCTGTGGTGGAGGCTGCCCTGTACATTATATGATATTGAGGAGCATTCCTGGCCTCTACTGTGACAGCTGTGACAACCAAAAATGTCTCCAGACATTTCCCAAGCATCCCTTGAGGGGGGCAGAATCACCTCTGGTTGAGAACCACTGCAGTGCAGGTATGCCTGCTTGTCCCCACTTATCAGATACTTAAACTGAGGCGCCAAGGCCACAACGTTTGCCCAGGGTCTCCTGGCTGAGCAAGGTGGCACTAACAGTGCAATCTGACTCTCCACTACACCATGTTTGCTCACCTTTACCCACCCTCTGCTTAATTCAGTCATGGTCCTCACAGAGGGCCCTCGGATCTCTAAGGATGCTGAGACCTTCACATCCTGTCTATCCGGAGGAGACAGGGACAATGATCACAACCAGATACTGGACACAACGAGACAGCCACCTGTTCAGTCCCACCTCACAGCCTCTGTGGCTCAGAAGGCTCTTCAGGAGGAGACAGAGGGATGACACTCTTGGCCAAGGGAACCCAGGAGCAGAGGCAGGGAGGCGGGCCTGCGTGCTCATGCTAGGCATAGGCTTAAGTGATTTACAAATGGGTGAAAGTGCTCAGAGCAGCGTGACACCCAGGAAAGGGATGGGAGTGATGAGAGGCAGGGAGAACCCAAGAGAAGCAGCAGAGGCTGGTGCAAACACCACCTCCGTGTCTTCAAGGCCGGCTCACCTTTGCCTCAAATGCTGCAAGCCCCACCTGAACCTGGCAGGCCCTCCTCCACCAGTCTCTGGCAGTGACACTGATGAGCCGGGTCAGACTTTCCTGGACCAACCCGCAACCCTCTCCAAACCCCATGCCTCCAGGCTGACCTCCATGACGGGTCCTGCCAAACTGACCAAAACTCATTTCCTTGCAGCCCTGTGCAAGAACCTGCTGGGGCTCCCCACTGCTTGGCCGGGGCATCAGATTTTAGAAGGCCTTGGATGTAGGCCAAGGGGTCCGGACTTGCATCTGGGGGCGATGGGGGGGATCCAGGACACCCTGAGATCAGACGCTTCTTTTCTGGGAACGGCACTAAGGGTCTCTTATCTCCACGCTAGGGTCACCCTTCACTCCTTCCCTCATGAAGACAAAATGTTTAGAGCACTTAGCAGGAGCCTGGCACATGCTAAATAAAGGCTTTCAATGTGTTGTCCTGTCTGCCTAGAACATTCGCCCCTCCCTGCCGCAGCTCCCCCACCAGCAGGCTGATCTCTTATTATTCAGAGCTCAGCTCGCCTGGAAGCCTTCCCTGACCACCCAAATCTAATGCTTTCCACCCACCCCAGCACATCACTTCACTTGGTTTTACTATATTCCTGAACGTAGGGATATCAGAAATGAGCTTGATCATTTGTTTGTCTGAGGTCAGTCACCTTCAGACAAACCTTTGTCTAACCTTCACTAGAAGTTGCTGAGAGCAGTTCTAGGAGCTGCTTTTCAGGGCTGCTCCCCGGGCCCCAGCAGGGAGTTGGCACCCATGTGAAATCAAACTGTCCCAAGGGTCCCTTAACTTGTTGCTCTTGCCTGCCAGGCTGTTTTGGCCTCCTCTGGCGCCCCAGGTCTGGGCACCCTAAATCCTCACAGAAAAGCAATTATTAAGAGTGCTTTCTCCAGCTCCAGGCACAGGCTCGGACTCACTGCCCCCTTCTCTGCCATCACACACAGCGGCCAACTCCTACCAGTCTCTGCCCCCGTTCCAGCTCTATGACTGGAGGCAGCTGTGCCCAATCCTAAGTACCCAGCCCGGAGCCCCGGCCGAGGCCCCAGGCTGCGCCACGGCAGCCAGCCTCAGCCCAACCAGGCAGGGGGAAGGCTTCTTTACATGGGGCTGCTGGCCCAGTTTCTACCCCTCCCAAAACCAGGAGGCCAGCCAAAGAGGGGAGGAGGGCCGAGCCCAGGTGGGGGCAGTTCTAGGAACTACAAGGAGATTGGGGGAAGGGAGGGAATGAGGTGACAAGCCATCATTAAACCCAGATCTAGCTGATACCACTCGACCCAGCAGTTCGTGGTTCCTGCCTCAGGTACTGAGGCTCCCAAGTCAACGTTCCCAGGACACACTGGAAACAGCTTTGCAGTTAGCCCAGAAAGAATGAAGAAAAGCAGGGGTGGTCTGACTGGGGACCAAACAGAGGGAAAGATAAACCAGGAAAAAAAGCAAAAATACAGCTCCACAGCCAGGTTCCATCCTCATAACCACCTCCCTCTGCCAGCCCACAGCTCTGTGACCCCTGACCTCTTGGCTCCCATTATAACAGGGATGACCTTGCCTCTGGGAAAAAAAGCTTCCACTGATCTGGCTCCCTGGGACACCAGCAAAACTGTCCGCAAGGGATGGGCAAGAGAAAAGTCCTGGACAGAGAATTCCCACCAGGGAATCCAGAACAGTGGGCTCTTCCAGTCACGCCCCTAAAAGGCCAGCTCCAGGGGACTGCGGGCTGGGGCGGAGGGTCAGTCAATCCCAGTTGGCCACTGTCTAGCTGTGGGACCTGGGACAAGCCATGGGGCCGCGGCTTCCTCCCCAGTACCATGAAGAAGGCCTAAGTTGACCTGGTGGTGGTGAGCAATCAATGAGCTCATCTAACCAGCAAGCTCAGCACAGGGCCTGCCCCAGGAAGAGCACTGCAGAGGCAGGGCCCTGGGACCCGGAGCACCAAAGGCCTGGGCCAGGGTGTAGGTGCCTGGTTTGATCCCTTTCTTGGTGACCTGCCTTCCCCCCATCAGGAGCCTTCAAGACACAATGAACAGAGCTTTATATGCTCACCTCCCAGTAACTCACCTGCGGAGAGCTGGTGCCTGAAAGGTAGTGAGGTCCCAACCCCTAGGCTTGAGCCTCAAGGCTCTGGTCACAAAAAGTGGGGAAAGAATCTTAGGACCCTAAGATACTCAGATAACAGGGGCTGGCCTGCCTCCCTACAGATATATGGGGTGGGGGTGGGCAAAAGGGTGGTAAACAAGATGCCCGAGCTAGGTGTTCCAGACTATTTCCCAAGCTGCCCACACAAACGCCCACCTGGCGGGCTAGCATCTTGGGGCAGCCAGCAGAGGCTTGCCCAAAGGGTATGTCGGGACCCAGAGCCTGAGACAGGCAGGGATGAGGTGTGAGAAAGAAGAAACCCCTCAGATTGGGCCCCAAGCTAACACCTGGACGGGGAAGGGGGGAGGGGGTGCACCGTGGCACTTGCCTTTTGATCACACTAGTTTCTCCGGACCTGCTCCCACATCCCCACCAGCCTACTTAGCGCAAAGGCTCTGCCTCCCCCGGACTCCCAAAGCTCCTACAGTAGTTCCTCAACCTACCTGATCGCCTCCGTATCAGGTGCTCGCCACCCCCTCCCCACTCTCCGAACTGAAACCTCATGTGACCCCTGCAAACATTTCAGGGATCTCCTCCTAACCGCCCCCACTAGAACTAACTCCGCCCACACCCACCCTGCCCCACTTCCCGGGCTTCTCCTCAACCGCCCCCAGGCCTGTAACCTGACCCACCTCCTCCAGCGCCCCGACTGTACCTGCCAGCCCGGCCCCTCCCCGCCCCCCCTCGGGGCCGTTTCCCTCCGGCCAGGCCACTCTCCCCTCCTCCCCCATTCGGCCGGCCCAAAGCCCGACTCCTCCTCCCCCTCCCCCTCCGGTCTCCCCGGCGCCTCCTCACTTTTCCTCCACCGGCCCTCCCTCCAACTTCCCGGCCCCCAGCCACCCCTGCACCTGCCCGGGCCTGGTCTCGCTCCCCTCTCGCGGGGAATGACAGGAGGAGGTCTGGGCCCGATCCCGACGCCCCCAAGCTCCGCGGCCCGGCCCGGGGCTGGACGCTCAAGGCCGCTCGCGGGGACCGGGACTCTCCGCACTCGGGCCGGGGCACAGTGCAGGCTGCTAACCAGGTTCCTCCCCGGTCGGAGGAGGCCCCCATGTCCTCCCCCCTCAACCCTTAGCCGGACCTCGGATGCCCTCCGGCCGTCCCGGCGAAAGGAGGCCGGAACCGGGCCTGGGGCGGGCCGCCTCACCTGCGCCGTGGCCGCGCTCCGGGGGCTCCCGGCGAGCTCCGCAGCGGCGGCTGGGGCCGGGCCTGGGCCCGGGGCGCGCCCCCCTGCGCCGGGGCCTCGGCGTCCGCCTCCGCGGCCTCCGCGGCCTCCGCTTCAGCAGCAGCGGCAGCCGCGGCGGCCATTCATTGTGGGCCAGGCCGCCCCAGCCGAGCGCCGAGCGAGCGCAAGGCGCGCCGCCGCCGCCGCCAGGCCGGGGAGGAGCGGCCGTGGCCCCGCCCACGCACCGCCCCCGGTGCCCGCCCCCGAGGCTAGGCCAGCCGAGCGCCGAACGCGCCCCTTCTCTCCTCAGTCTCTTCCCTCGACCTCTCGGAATCCCCGTCTGGACCTTGGCTCTGCTATAGAGTTCGAGTCCCGACCTCGCCACCATCTAGTCCCGCGACCTTAAACAAGTCGCTCTGCCTTTCGGAACTTTAGTTTCTTGTAAAAACGCAAACAATAATATCTGCTGTTTATTGTGCCAGGAACTGTTTTAGGTTCTTTACGGGATTATCTCGTTTAAACTTCACAGTAGTATCTTTAGGTAGGAATTATTTTATAAACACACACACACTTTATAGAAAATAAGAAAGGGAGGCAGAGAGAGATGAAGAAACCTGCTCCAGGTCACACAGCAAGGAAGTGGTGCCGGATGCCAGGATTCAAAACCGGGCCCAAGAAGAAACAATAAAAGTTAACATTTGTCCGATGCTTATGCGACGCCAGATTCCATTCTAAGCATTCTACCTGCACTAACTCGTTTAATTCTCATCACAACTCAATAACGAACGTTAAAAAGTTCTGCCCATTTTGCAAATGGGGACATATAAGCAGAGAGCATTAAGAACAAGTAGGAAGGCAAGCTGGGGCTGGAACCAGTCAGTACCGACACTACGGTCTCCTTTCCTACACCGGTTAGAACCTTCTGAGGGTTTGCTATGTGAGAGAGCCTACTTTGCACATTTTCCAGGCATTCTGTCGTTTAATCTCTGCTCTATCTTGGAAGCTAGGGCTCTTATTTAACAGGTAAGGAAAGTGAAGCCCAGAGAGTTTAAGTAACTTGTCAAGAGCATGTGGTAGGACTGGGATTCAAACGCAGGAAATCTGATTCCAGAGTCTGAGTTATTCCCGCAGGGTGCCCTGACATACTGTGTTTACAAAACCCAGCACACAGGAGGCGATCAATAGGTGTTGGATTTCTCCGCTTACCGCCCCTTTTCTGAGTCTCACCTTCCTCATCCGTGAAATGGGGCTAGTGTGGTGTCCCCTCCCAGGGGAGCCGCAGTGATTAAGGCCGTCACACAAGACTTTCAGCGCTTTCCGCCGTGCATTTTGATCCCAGCTGCCCACTATAGGTAGCATCAATGATTGACTAAATTCTGTCACATGATCTGCCCTCCCACTGTGCCAACATGGCGGCGCCCAGGTCCTAATCTGGGGAAACGTGCACCGAGACCAATTTGGTTTTCGGTGCTGCAAGAGAAGGTGAGGGGGGCCTGGGCGACGCGGGGAGGGATCCGGAGCATGGGTGGGCCCGCTCGAGGGCTTCCGGCTTCTCAGGGACAGTCCTCCAAAGACGGGGGGTGGTGTCAATTTACTGAGGTCACAGGGTTTCCTTAGTCCCTACTTTACACTTGTGTAGGCCATCCGGCCAGGAAAGCAGCTCTCTGATGGTTTGGCTATTCTCTCCCCCGCCCTCCGAACTAGGCTTGGCGGGCAGAGGCGCCCGCGGATGTCCCGCGCGAGGATCGTTCTGTGGCTAAGCCTGAGTCTCCGCTCCGCCCGCAGCTTCTCTAGAGCCCGGTTTATGGAGGGGCAGCCCCAAGGGCCGCCAAATCCAGCGGCAATGGAGAATGGCACCGAGCCCTGCGGAGAAGAGCGCCCACCTGAGGTTCAGGAGACGACGGTCACTGAGGGGGCCGCCAAGATCGTCTTCCCCAGCGCAAACGAAGTTTTCTACAACCCAGTGCAGGAGTTCAACCGGGACCTGACGTGAGCAGAGTCCGGGGTCAGCTTGGCAGAGGGCAATGGGTCTATGAGATTGAAGGGGTGTGAGCTGACTCTCCGTCTCCCGCAGATGTGCTGTGATTACCGAGTTTGCTCGCATTCAGCTTGGGGCCAAAGGAATCCAGAGTGAGTAGAGGTCCAGGCTCCTGGTGGGCAGGGGTGTCATGCAGAGCTCTCTCGTTGCCCCGCCCCTTCTCTCCCTTACCTTCCTGAAAGACTCCAGCCGTGTAGCAGGCACTGGGCTCTGCTCCTCTGCCTTTCTCCAGGGACTTTGGGGAAGATTTTCTTCCCTGAATCTCCTGTATTCTGAAGAGTTGGGGGAGGTTTCTCAGATGGCGCTTTGATATCCCCTAACTCGTGCGTCTGGATGGCTGCAGTCAAGGTGCCAGGTGAGAAGGATTTGCAAAAGGTGGTCGTGGACTTGTCGGAGCAAGAGGAGGACAAGGCTGAAGTGAAAGAGGGTGCAAACCTGGCCCCGGGAGACCAGCCTCGAACAGCTGCCGTGCGGGATATCTGCGAGGTGGGGCCTGAACGTGGGAGGTAGCAGCCCTGGAGTCCAGTGGGTGGTAAAAGAAGGAAGGCTCCTGGAGGGGGAGAGCGATAGGACCTGGGAGGGGGGGCTCCTTGGCGCCCAGCAGAGGATGGAGGCATGGATGTGAGTGGGGCTCCCTGCTTACTCCAACAGGAAGGCCTGCGAGTGCTGGAAGGCCTGGCAGCCTCCGGCCTGCGTTCCATTCGCTTTGCGCTAGAGGTGCCTGGGCTCCGATCCGTGGTTGCCAATGATGCCTCTGCCCGAGCCGTGGATCTCATGCACCGAAATGTGCAGCTCAACGATGTGGCCCACCTTGTACAGCCCAGCCAGGCGGATGCCCGGTAGGTGCTGGGCAGCAGAGGCTAGCTGCTGGAAGGTGCTTTCTGGAACAGAGGTTCCTGGGGTCAAATCCTGGCTGTGTCATAATCTTGCTCTGTGGCCTTAGCCTCTTAGAGCCCGAGTTTCCTTGTCTATAAAACAAAGACAGTAGTTTTATAGGGCTTGCTGTATTTTATAGGGATTACTGATTATACTGTGTGGCTTGTGCTCGGAGGTGGAAATAAGTACCATTATGGTCTCCATTTTAGACTCAACTTCTTGTACTTCTATTCAGTCAAGTGAACCAGTGTATATCCAGTGCCAGGCATCATTCTTTTTTTTAAAAAATAAATTTATTTATTTATTTTTGGCTGCGTTGGGTCTTCGTTGCTGTGCGTGGACTTTCTCTAGTTGTGGTGAGCAGGGGCTATTCTTTGTCATGGCGCACGGGCTTCTCATTGCGGTGGCTTCTTTTGTTGTGGAGCACAAGTTCTAGGCACGCAGGCTTCAGTAGTTGTGTCACGTGGGCCCAGTAGTTGTGGCTCGAGGGTTCTAGAGCACAGGCTTAGTAGTTGTGGCGCATGGGCTCGGTGGCTCCGCAGCATGTGGGATATTCCTGGACCAGGGCTCGAACCCATGTCCCCTGCATTGGCAGGTGGATTCTTAACCACCGCACCACTAGGGAAGTCCCCAGGAGCCATTCTGCCTGTCAGGACTGCATCAGTAAACAATACAGACAAAATCCCTGACCTTGTGGAGTTCATAGTGCAGGGGTCAGCAAACTACAGCCTGCGAGGCCCACAGCCTGTTTTTTTACGGCCTGCCATCTAAGAATGTTTTTCACATTTTTAAAGGTTTAGAAAAAGAAGAATATGTGATAGGGACCATATGTCTCCCAAAAAGCCTAAAATACTTACTACCTGACCCTTTACAGAAAATAAATGAATTAAAAATGTTTGCTTTCTTGACCATATTAGAATCTAATAGGGGGACTTCCCTGGTGGTCCAGTGGCAAAGAATCCACCTCACAACGCAGGGGACGCGGGTTCGATCCCTGGTCAGGGAACTAAGATCCCACATGCCGCGGGGCAACTAAGGCCACGCACCACAACTACTGAGCTCACGCGTCTCAACTAGAGCCCGCGTGCCACAAACTACAGAGCCCACACGCTCTGCGACCCGCGTGCCACAAGTAGAGGAGAGAAAACACTCACACCACAACTAGAGAGAAGCCCACGCGCCAACGAAGAGCCCGCGTGCCACAACAGAGACCCGACGCAGCCAAAAATAAATAAAAATAAATAAATAGTAAATAAATCTTTTTTTTTTTTTTAAAAAGAATCTAATAGGAAACACAGATGATAACCAATAATCATGACAAATAAATAAACTGTGTAGTAAACTAGAGGTGAGAAGTGCCGGAGGCAGGGGTGAAATAACAGGGTATAGGGGATGGACGAAGGAAGGGTTGCAGTTATAAATTACATGGTCAGGAGCATTTGCATTTTCTCACCTGCAAAGAACAACAATAGTTTCAAATTTGTTGAAGATTGTGTGATTAGATGAGTTAATACATTTATAAACCGCTTGAAACAGTGTCAGGTAAATATGTACTGCATCAGTGTTGGCTATTATTATTGCCATCTTGTTTTTCTGTTTTTTTGTTTTGGGGTTTTTTTTTTGGCCACGCTGCACGGCTTATGGGATCTTAGTTCCCCGACCAGGGATTGAACACAGGCCCTCAGCAGTGAAAACACGGAGTCCTAACCACTGGACCGCCAGGGAATTCCCTATGATTATTGCCGCTGTTAGATAGGTAGACAGACCCAAGGAGGAAAAGTTAATATAGTTAGCAGATGGATAAGCCAGGATCTGAAGCCGCGCAGCTGGCCCCCAAGTCCAGGCCCAAACCATCACATTGTATGAGTGAACGTGTGTAGGGGACAGCATGGGTCCCTGGTGCAGGGGGCTGAGGACCTGGCCCTCTCGCTCCTAGGATGCTGATGTACCAGCATCAGAAGGCGTCGGAGCGGTTTGATGTCATTGACCTGGACCCCTATGGCAGCCCCGCCCCCTTCCTGGATGCAGCTGTGCAGGCTGTGAGTGAAGGAGGTGAGGCCAGCCTGATGCAAGGGCGGGGTGGGGATGGGTTGGGGGGGGTTATGTACTGAGCAGGGCTTGGGGTGTTGGAGGGTCCTCACTGCCGGGTCCCTCCCCACAGGGCTGCTGTGTGTGACCTGCACAGACATGGCAGTGCTGGCGGGGAACAGTGGGGAGACATGCTACAGCAAGTACGGGGCCATGGCCCTCAAGAGCCGGGCCT